TCCCAGGCTACCACAGAGCTCCAAGGAAGCATCTGATTGTTGCAGATTTTCAATACATCAGAATTGGTGCCAAAATGACCTGGAAGAAGAAAGGGGCTGAACTCCACACCTTCTTCCTGGTTGTCTCTGTTGATATCAGAACAGAGGGCCCACAACAACCAGGAGTTCACATGATGTGACAAGAGTACAATCTGTTTCCTTTATTTTTGCAACTCATTTCCTTGGCAAGTGCTTAATGGCTCTGATGCAGATCAAGGTGAAAAATGATGTATCAGGGTTGACAGTCAAAAATAAATTTGTGGCATGCTGCCTAGTAATAATTTCTAAAGAAATAATGCAACATTTTAGGAATTATTATTCTGTATTGCCCCAACAACTTAGACTTTGTAGGAAAACATCAGCAGTAAGAGTATCCTCCTGAGGTTTATGGAGAGCTGTGCTTATATGATTTTACATATCAAGTTAGTCAGGAGAAATTGAATAAAAGCAACTCAGGTCTAGGAAATGAGAGAAGATTATGAAAAGCAGATTTAATGCAGCACCAGTTTTCTGATGTTTGCGGCACATTTCATCACGTTGCTGAGGACACCCAATTACACAGTTTCTAGAGTAATTTCAAGCTGAGAGTACACTGGAGAGCATTAATGCTGATTCCTCCTCACTCATTGCCTTACCAGTAATACCTTATGCTTACCTGTATGGGAATTCTCCCATCTGATTTTAATCTCAATTGTGTTCTTTCATTTCTCAGAATTTGGCTCTAAATTAGGTGGCTTTCATCTCACTAATATCTTCCTCCCCGTCCTGTATGGCAAGCTCTGATTTTTGGACATATATTGATGTCTTGCTATTGCAATTGCAACATGCAATGGACATATACAATGTGAGGAGCACAATTGCAATGTGAATGTACAATGTGACACATAAAGTAGAAACTTTGCTCTGTGTACAGCTCTGTTTCTGCTACTGTCAGTACAAAATATTTGTTGACTGTGGTAAATAATTTGCCCCAAGTTAATAGCAAGACTTACACTTGTCTGTGTCACTAACAGGACTCTATCTTTTGTATGATAAAAATTAAAATTTCAGATTAGGTGATGGGACTAGCATCCCTAATGTTCATATCATCCAGTGAAGTAACTCATGGTGTCAGCCCCATGGTCTTCTTCCCATATCATATCAGATCATAACACAATAAGCTAAAATACCAGAAAATATTACTAAATCAGCGACTATTTAAAAAAAAAACAACAGCAAAAGCAACAGTGCATGCTTATAATGCATGCAGATGAAACCAGGTGAGCACTAATGATAGCTGTGATCAGAGTGCATGAGCATTAGAAGGTTCAAAAAGTAAATTAACAGAGTTTTAGCTTTGGGGGTATATTGGTATAGCACATTTCTGCTGGGCATATTAAAATGTTTTGTTGGTTATATCTAACCATAGGGGCGATTTTTACATAAAATAATACATTTCTGCTAAAGTACTGCACAAACAAATTCTATACGACATTTTGATGTCACTCCTCTGATGGTGTCTTCTGGTGCAGTTCACGATTATCTAGAATGCGAAGTGGTATAAAGCCAGCATGTTTTCAGTTGACACCAGTGCATGATGGTGCTAATGGTGGGTTTCCAACTGTGGCCGTGCTGAGGCAAAGGGTTTAAGGACTTTAATGCAATCTCATAGCAGACATGTAATCAAAGATGCAAACAACTTACCAGGATGATCACAGTATCTATTGTACTTTTCCATAGTAACGCAATGGCAGAGACTCTCTGCCCTATCTTTCCTTTTAGCCGCAAGTCTGACGTTCCACTGCTTTGTGATTTTTTTCATTTTTTAAAAGCCCTTTTGTAGTTCCAGTGAAATTTAGTATTGTTGTTTTTTACAACACTTTACACTTTTAATTACTGAGAGGGAGAGAGAAGGACAAGTGGTGTCACTTCTGTGTTGGCATGCCAACATAGAATCGAATTGGCCATATTGCATGAGATAAATACAGGATCTGTGGCTATTGATGGGTTTTCCTGTCAATAAGAGGGAATTGGGTTGTCATGGGGAAGTGGCAGATCGGCAATGCTTTGCCCAGAGAGTCATGTCATAGGAACTGTCATAAAAGGCGATGGTCCTGCTTCAATGCCAATTTTCCACTTTCATGCAATAAAGTCCTAAATGTCCTCACCCCATTCCATGTTTTTGATCTGGCTTCTCTTAGATCTGCTGCTTATTAAAAAGCAAATGCCTACAATTGAGTAATGTCACATTTCATTTGGCTCTGAATTGAGAGATGCTTTCTTCCTGTTTTGATCAGAAAATACCATCCAGCTGCACTTCTGAGCACTTCGCTTTCTTCAGTCAAAAAGGCGAACAAACCATTTTTACTGCAGTCTGAACCTCATCCTAATGAACAACATCCAAACCAATTTTCTTGCATTTTTTATTATCTGAATATGAAAACAGGCAATATTACATAAAGCAAGACGGACACAAGTTGTATATATAGCATCATGCTGCAGCCTGCTTCAAATGAACACAACTGGATTTTTTTTGTAAACTATCAGAATAAATAAATATTATACAAGTTTGCATTGCCAGGTAGTGAATCCTACAGCACAAAATTGTTACATTACAGCTTTTCCTTTTTTTTAAAAAAAATAATTATATGGTACATAGCTTTGATGTTTGACCTCTTTAAAATGCTTTGTTCCTTTATCCTGATATGGCAGACATGCATGTTTTTGGCTAGGAAATGCATTCATCAAGTGGGCTTAGTGACATGAAATGATTCCACACAAATGGTTTGAATGTTTTTATTCAACCCTCAAGCTACATCTAGTTTGGTCACACCTTCTCCTTAATAGCTAGCAAGGTTTCAAAAGATAAAGAGGATAATTAAAATTTGATACTAAGTGCATTGCTCATAAAATATACCCTTAGTTATAACCTCCTCCTACAAAGGGTTTCATTGTCGCTTTTTATAGCCCATGTGGCAGAAACCTTTCTGTTAGTCCCAACAAGGTACACCATCATGGCTGGAGCTACCATTGGGCAGAATGAAGCACCATATGCTGGTTGATGTAAAAGGGGAGCAGAGTGTTACTTCATCCATTTCTTCTTATGCATTTTAGTTCTAGGTTGGGAAAGACGTGCTTGTGGGATGGTTTCTTTCAGATGCTAAAATAACATGTCTGGCTTTTGGTACTGTGCTTTTGGATTTGAAGGGTGGGCACCATATGTTGCTCTGCCTCAGACAACAAAATGTCTTGGTCTAGTCCCTTAACTATACTACCATTATTGCCATTGGAGCCCCTGGTGATGCAATGGGTTAAACCCTTGTGCCAGCAGGACTTCAGACCGACAGGTCAGAGGTTCAAATTTAGGGAGAGCAGGATAAGTTCCCTCTGTCAGCTCCAGCTCCCCATGTGGGGACATGAGGGAAGCCTCCCACAAGATAGTAAAACATCAAATATCCAGGCATCTCCTGGGCAAACTCCTTGCAGACGGCCAATTATCTTACACTAGAAGCGACGTACAAGTTGCTCCTGACATGGAAAAAAAAATACTTTTGTGAGTGTATGCTTGGGTTATTTTGTTCTTGAGCAACAACATGGTCTGATTTGTGTTTCTTTTGATTTTAAATCAGCCATCATAACTCTTTCTTGAGCCTTTTCCAAACCCTACCGTAATATAGAAATTTCCTTCATGTTATCAGAGTTCTGTTCATGTTTCGTAATTCTGAACTGATGCGGTAATCACTGTAAACACTAAACTGTATTTCAGAAGCCTCTTTAAAATGTTGCCCTTCTTCTGTAATACCCAATCTTAGCACAGCCAGTTTCTATTCTAAATTCACACTGCCTTTTGTTACAGAACTTCAAGATCTAAGATCTGGTAGAGTTCTCAGATACTGAGGCTTGAAATCCCAGTTGATGCATGGTGACACTTAAAAACAGAAATACAAGAATGACAGTGGATGAAATAGAAAGCTCATTTTTAAATAACTACACAAATACATGCAGTTTTTTAGGCAATGATATTTCATGAAATTTGAAACAATATTGGCAATAAAAATGAGTAAACATATGTACTTTTTTCAATTGATAGTTAAACCAGCTGCAGAACTTGGCTCTTTTTATAATTAATAAAACCATTTTAATACATATACTGGGATGTTTGTGTGTATATGTGTGCGTGCACGTGAACACTCACAAATGTTACATACTTTCCTCATTTTCAAAGATAATGAGACTGTATTTTAAATTTATGCCCTAGTTGTTCATGCCAGACGGGGCAGGAAATGAAACAAAAAGAAGCCACACTTGTTTAATTCTTCAGGAAGGTCTATTTCAGTGATTGGGATGAATTTTGTTCCTCTATGGACATACAAAAACTCTGGGAAGAAGCTACTGAGGATGATTGAAAATATTTTGAGAATCGGCCTACTATTAGATGATGGGATGAAGGATGCGTGAATCCATGACTCTGAGTTTTTTATTTCTTTCTGTGACTCAGTGACTGGAAATACACATGATCTAAGTGGCATGATTTTTTAAGGGGAGTCTCAAATGCAAATCCATGTAAAATCCTATATTTTTAGTTTCATCTAAATTATCTTAATGTTTGTCACTCTGACCAAATTAATTTGAAGGTAAACCATCTGATTGTTGTTTTCTATCACAATGTAAATTTAGGAAGCAGTCCAAGGCTCATATGGGAGTGAGCCCCACTTAATAGAACTGGAGCCCTTTCACTCTACAGAAATTATAGCATTACGATTCTGCTTTAATTGCAGTGGTTCCATGCTATGGATTTGAGTGCCCTGACTGAGAAAGTGCCTTGGCCTAAATCACCAGTCCCAGGATGGCATAGGATGTTATGCCATGGGAGTTAAAGTGCTTCCAGCCATTGAAGGAATTGTTCCTACTTCTCTTTAAATTTCAGTAATAATTGGTACAATAATTGCTTGAGATTTCTTTTTTACAAACAAACTGGGGGGGGGGGCGACCCCATACACATACATACCAATGGTTCAGTTGTTCTTCAGTTGTTAAGATCTTCCCACTATCCACTCATTGATGTTAAAATAAATTTGAAAAAAAATCTTACAATGAAATTGAACTGGGATCTTTCCTCTTGAATTTATGCTGTGAAATATATGGGGAAATTTGTGCAAATGCCCAATGTCTAAAAGATGGCATCAGTTATATGGCATTAATCTACATGAAAGATGACCTTTGAGTATCAGAAAGTGAAACTGAAGGCCACTCTGATTTAATTTAAGTTTTTTTAAATTTAAGTTTTTTAAATTTAAGTTTTTTTAATTACACCTAAAAGTCATAAGCGTTCAATTTAATTTGTTCTACTCGGTACCGTTAAAGACATAAGCTGAGCATCCCTTTTTCAGACTTCTGAAATCCTCCATAATTGCCCACATGGGTCGTTGATATATTTTATTTATTTTGTGTCAAAAGCATTGTATGTATAAATGAATACATATAAAAACTGATAAAATAAAGGAAGCACAAGCAGCTAAATAATTTTAGAGCAAAAATGGGCAACAGCAACCGCATTGTCTGTAGCTTTAAGCAGTCCTTCCTCTGTGCAGGAGGCAGGGCATGATATACTGACACCTTTGCTTTTTATGTTTGAAGTAAACCAATTTTGTTGCACAAAATTATTAAAAATATTGTATAAATTTACCTTTAGTCTATTTTATAAGGTGTATACAAAACATGAATGAGTTGTGTGTTTAGAAGGGTTTCATTTCCAAAATATTTCGCTGTATATCTTCCATATTTGCAAATACAGGTATTTCAAAATCTGGCAAAAATCTAAAAATCAAAAAACTTCTGGTCCCAAGTATTTCAGATAAGGAATGCTCAGTTCATACTGAGGAGACCCCATCATTTGAAGGGGAAAAATATGTGGGCACTACATGTTGTATAGATAAAAGTATGATGGGAAACAAAATGATAACCATGTTATCCATTATTGCTGAGGACAACAGATGGTTGAGTATTTTCAATAATGATTCTCAAACTATGATCTTCTAGAGGTCCTCTGCCTGCTGAATCCTAGCCCATCTAATAATTTAATATGGAAGTCTAATAACGTTAATGCATAGCAGATGCACTGCATAGTGTATACCATACAAATGCAATCATTAGTTTTCTGTTGCCACTGCTGTAACAAATTCAGTGGGTTGACTCCAGATTTAGGCTTTCTTGTTGTAAATCAATTGAAATCATCAAAATGACTCAATTTTAGGGGTACTTTTAGGTTCATGACCAATTTTGTAGATCTCAATTCTTTTTGCAGGTGTTTACATCTGAAGCCAGCAGTAAATTGCTATGGGAAGTGTGGGGTTGTTGTAACTAATTCATTTTATCTCTCTGCTTATTACAGAACCCAGAATTGATCCTCTGTTAAGCAAATACAGTAATAATTTTCTCAGACAGCTGAGTTTGGATGTCAAGGAAATACAATGTATTATTATGCTTACTGGTGGTGACATGAATAGGTGTTCTCTTGACACCAAAAAAACTTGAGTAGGGGATGACCTTTGCTATTCATTTGACTTAAAATCAGCAAAATAAGCTGTGGCCAGCCCTGAATTCAGCTGATGAAAAAAGCACAGAGGACATTCCATGTTCTTTAGCTGTTCTTCATTTTCCAAATCTGTCTCAAATGCTTTAACACACTCACACAAATCACAAAGAGCAAACTTTGTACATTTCAGTGAACCAAAAAATTGAAAAAAAAATCTTTGGGATATGTGAAAAAAAAATTCTACAGCTTTCCTTGCTTCCATACCTTTCATTTCAATAAATGTTTTAAAGATGGATACTTTCCTGTCCGAAGATGGGATAGGAACTAAACCATAATGGTGTCCTAGACTGTGTGCTGATTACAATGGGTGGTAGGAGAAAATGCCACTGAGATTACATAATATTTTTATGTTAAACTGAACCTGGATCTTAGACCACATGAGGTCAACAAGAGATTAGTTTCTTTTCTTTAGTTTTCTGATTACAGTGTTGTTTCTATCTACTGTATAAGTATAATTATAAAAGAAATGAAAAGGGAAGTGCTTCACAATTCTGCATAAGGCAACACTGACGTTAAAACACAAGTGAAGGAACATCGCCAATATCATATAAACTATGTACATCAGGGCTTTCTCTTCTCTTCTCCCCAGAGAAACAAAGCAACTAACATTTATCATAGCATCATCAAAAGAATCTTTCCAAATATTACATATTTGACTCACAGTTTTGAAGACAATTTCACATTTAAAACATCTGTCCTTTCAGTAGTATCTTTTTTAATGGATCAGTGGGAACAGGCAGTAGCAATGCCCAGTGCAGAAACCAGAATTACATCAATGTTTCCCTATGAAAGGACGCATCCTAATGAGGGAGAACATGGAGAGCTGTGTGTTGCATGTCAAACATCAGCCCATTCAAGTAGCAAAGACATGGTGTGTTTCCTTGTACGTTGTAAGCTGAGGTCTGGGCTCTTACCATGGTTTTTCTTTTTCTTTGTCTGCCTGAAGCTCAGTTTGGTAAAGTATCCAGCCCCAGAGAGGCAGCGTGTTGCTTGGCACGCAGACGTAGGTTCTCAATACTGGTTGTTTTACTGTTCAGACTTGGGAGAGAAGAGGAGGCTTGGAGGATAGGGGAAGACCACATCTGCTGGGCATGGGAGAGTGACTGGTAGTAAGACTGGCAGTGCAGAGAGCTTAGAGGTGCCATGTTGACATTCATGCCCAAGTATGGCACCGTAGAAGGGCTCCCCATTTCAAAGGATGAATAATGGACCAAGTTGTTAGTGGCTGCCATGTGCTGGCGAAACTGCTCTTGCAGGCGGAAGAGGCTGAGGGGTGAGGAGGAATAGGAGTGGCTCTGAGACAGGCTGCTGCTGGAAGATGGCGTGGCCGCAGCGCTGATGGGGGAATCTGCATTTTTAAGCACAGCAAAATCAAATTAACTGAAAAAATAGTAACACCTTATCTGTAACAGGAATATGTTGAGACTCAAATTTCAAAAGCAGACAAGCAAACAAAAACATATGTCCAGGTTGCCGCAAACCCGGTACACAGAAATCATGGTATATAATGGGACCAAACTATAGTCATAAAAGCATAAAATGAAAACATTAATTTTAAAAGATAGGCTTGAAGGCAGGAATGGAGAGACATGCATGTGGCACACAACTATATCACCATAGTTATGTCTCCCAATGCTGCAATTCCAAATCCACCTTTCAAACAATGCAGCCTCTGAAACATAATCATTCCCATGTTGTTGAGAAACAGGAGAGGAATCCATGTAAACAGATCCAACTGTTTTCCTGTAGCTGGATCCAGAATTTCATTAGCAGGGCTCCCCAAGATGTCTGTAGCAGTGCATCCAGCCACAGGAAAATAACTTCATGCATCTTTCCAATGGCATGGAAATGGCTGAATTCCAGAATCATGAAAACAATGACCTATCTGCATTTTCAGTATTATCCAGGTGCTCACTGGTGAGATCAACATAATGATATTTGATTTCCCATTCACGAAACTACATTTGGACTTTCAGCTACAAGCACCCTTTAAACAGAGAACTGCGTTCATTCTAGTAGGACTGATGAGAACTTTAACTGCTATCAAGTTGTATAAACATTTTACATTCTTTTCTAGCTGTTACCCAGGATAAAATAATATTATTATTGTCACTACAAATTTAGCCTGTTGGCAGTTTCAGCAGCTTTAGCCCAAGATATGTTTTGGTGTCTTCTCTATCTACCACCCCTTGCTTGCCTGCTGAAGTATTAAAGATAAGCATGAGTAAGTTGATGCAGCAGTTTGAACATTGGATTATGATTCTGGAGATCAGGGTTCAAAATACACTGGGTGACCTTGGGTAAATCACATTCCCTCAGAGGACAGCAATGGCAGACCTCTTCTGAACAAATTCTGCCAAGAAAACCCTGTGATAAAGTTGCCTTGGGGTTGCCTTAGGTCACAAATGACTTGAAGGTGCACTTCAACAACAATGATGGAAAGATGAGAGAACAAAATCTCATGATTACTTTTCTCCCATCCTGGATATTTTATTTTCCTTTTCAGAGAATCTACAAGAACTGGGATTTACAAATAGTACAAGATAGGACCTGCTTCAATAACCAAATTCCTCAGGCATTTGTTTGTGCATGGAGTGACTAGAAGGAACATGCTTATTTGATCCTTGAATGAGCTAATTTGAAAGGGAGGTCATTTTATGTTGAAATAAATGTGTTACGCGGAGGATCTGTTTACATCAAAACTCTTGTTGGCTACCCCAGAGACAGGCTAAAAGAGCAAGAAGTTCTCCCTCACCTGCTTTTGGGCTTGCCCTCTTGCTATTCAGGGTTTTGCTTTCTGCTCCAGGGCTCTTCTCAACTTTGTTCTCCTCCACTGATATCTTGAATTCCTCCTCTCTGTCCGTTTGGTCCTCAGCTGCTGACTCGCTGGCTGACTGCTCTGACAGAGTCAGGTTGAGCTCTGTGTTTACCTCACTTGGCAAATTCAGAGATTTGTCTTCATCAGGAGTTGGAGTCTGTGCTTCAGAGACGGGGGTCTCTGCTTTGCCCTCACTGTGGCTGGCTTCAGAGTCTTTCTGTTTCTGTAGTTGCTCCTTTTGCAGACTACGCTGCTTCTTCCGGAACTTAGCTCTTCGGTTCTTAAACCAAACCTTTATTTGAAAAAGAAGAAGGAAGCAAGACAATATATTTTAGACTGCTTTTTTTTTTTTTTAAAAAAAATGATCCATTTGAAACTATGAAGGGGAAGAGGGTGGGAAAGGTATAATAATAATTATAAAGAAATAAAACATGTATAAGTAGATAAAAGGTGTGTGATAGAGTTATATGTACTATAAGTTGTAATGGAGATTTAAAAATAATGATAAGAAATATATTTAAAGATATTTTTGATTTTTTTTCTTTTACTGTTAGATTGTATATAATATGACATACTCTTTTGTCTAAGATATTGTAAAAAGAGGGAAGAATGTATGCTTATGCACTTTGTTTGACAAATTTAGAAATCTTTTTTTTAATCAACCAGATCTAACATTGGACACAGTAATCATCATGTCTTCATTCACAGAAGCTGTCAATATGGGTGATTGAACTGTTCTGTTAGAGAACCATCCTATGAAAAAATCATGTTTATTTAGTTGAGGCCTTGAAAACACCTTGAATCAAAACTGGTGCTGTGTTCACCTGATTGGACTGAAATCAGGATTGGTCTTCTAACCTGCACACCAATTACTTTTAGAGCAATGTTTCTAAGGACAATGCAAAAGTCTGGGTATGAATACACAGAGGACCATCACTTATTCATATTTCATAAAGAACAGTCACAATCATAAGACGATGACAAAATTGGGCTGCAAACTAATCCTCCTGTGTACCTGTAATGTACTTTATATAATTAAAAAACACATTTTTAAAGGGAAGTTTGAATAAGAATTTTTTTAAATTACAGTGAACAAAACATGTAATGAATAACTGCATTATAATTGTGGGGGGGAAACAAATGACAAAATGGGAAAAAACTACAACAAATTATATAAATAAAAACCAACTTTTAAGTTAATTGATTTCAATATTGTGCTTTTCTCCCAACATGAAAGACAGCTTAGAAAACCATAAAACGAGATTAGCTAACAATTTGATAATGAAAAAGTGAAAACCCAATGAAACTAACATCTCATTAAAATATACATTTTTAAAAAAGTATAAAACTGTTTTAAAATGAAGGATTATAATAATAAATACAACCAAATATCCCATAAAAGGCTCCTTGTTACAAAGTAGTCATAGAAATATTTTAATATATTTCCCATTCTGTATAGAAGATGAAATTAAAAGTTGAAACTACACATTGAAGAAAAAAAATCTGAGCCAGAATCTTGTATGATAGTTATAAATGTGTTACCTGGAGTTACACACATGTGATTTTTTCATATGTATAATCCCTGCGTTAAGGGCTCCAAAGGGACCATGAAAATCCTATAATCTGCACCTACCAGAAAGCTGCCATTGTGATCAATGGAGGAATTACAATAGGGGACCTTTTTCTATCTATCACACTAGAAATTGCTCATTGGTGGTATTAAAATGACAGCCAGCAGCTTCCCAAGTGACAGAGGAACAGACCCTTGTTGATTGCAGTGGCTGCTTCATGGTTAGTAGAAACTGAAGGAGTCAAACTGGAATTCAATGAATTGCACTGGAGCTATCATATGTATGTATTCCTAAAGACCACAGAGATTCTAGCCATAGTTTTCAAATAAGAAGCACCTACATGAAGTTCAATATATATGTAATATTTTATACATGGTGGAAATATTGTGTTCAGTTGGTTTCTTTGTCAACCACACTTAAAATAAATGAAATGAATAGCTATACCATTCTGATTTTTTTTATTGTCAGGGTAAAAAGAAAACAGTCTTCAGACATCTTTTCCATCATACTTTAAAATACATGATTTTGTCTTCAATATTCAGGCTGCTAACATGTGAAGTGCTAACAGTGCAGGTACCTGTACTCTTGCTTCTGGCAGATTTGTACACATTGCCAGTCTTTCCCTCATGACCACATCTGGATAGTGGGTCTTCTGAAAAGTCTTCTCCAGGGCTTCCAGCTGCTGGGCTGTAAAAGCTGTGCGACTTCTCCTCTGTTTGCGGTGCTGGGAGCCATAACGGGCCTCCAAAATGATGTCTTGAAACGTACAGCCGTTGGAAGAGAAGAGAAGTGGCCAATTTAATTAGTGTAATTTTTGAGCATCAAATAAATAAAAACAACGGGACAAGATCTAAAAATGGTAAAATAATGATGGAGGATGCTATTGAACAGATTGTGTTAACTATGGGTAAGTTTTGAGTTGGAACTAAGACAGCACTCCTGTTTGCAAAACCGATGTACCGAGTACCCCTTGAAGCTGAGACAAAACTTTTTAGGCGCCAGCTTCTAAAAACAGTAGAAATTAAAGGTGTATAGAGAACATTCAAGAGTTTGCTTGATATTTGTTTACTATTATTATGTTGAAATTTGCAATTTAAGGAATGTAAAGCTTCTATAGTATATATTTTGTTTATTGATACAAGGTTCACATCTTAGACTTTATTCTCAATATGTTGCATAAAATGCTTCCTGAATGATAAGTAGTCTATTAAGAAGTTTTGAGAGCCTGACTTTGCAAAAATAATACTCTAAAAAGACCCAAATCAGATTGGAGTCAGTTATTTCTTTGGGTTAGATGTGATGATCCCCAAAAGTGCATTTTTCAAACCTGACTATTCTATATATCAATTTAAAGCATGAGGAATATATTGCTGTACTTCATGTGGATTATAAAGCTACAGATAACAGCAAACCCTGTTGAAATAAAAGACTTTCGCCAGAAGGATTTCATATTCACACTGGAGGACCTAGACAATGCCTATAGGGTACATATTTTGCGAGAGAAATGAAATACAGATACTGGTCCCACAGATACAGGAGGTACTCTGCACTAAACTTCATTCGGGGGGGGGGGGGAGGATTAGTGCAATATCACAAGATGACTATCTACTGAGCAGGAGTAGTTAGAACACATTATAATGATGATATCTATACAGACTGGTTTGGTACTTGTGATATGTCCTAAGGGCAAATCAATAAAATTTATTACTATTCAGAATGGAAAGCAAGTTATGATTTTGAATTGGGTCTCATAATAAATCCTGTTATTCCCATTTTACAGATGGGGGTTTGAATCACAGAGACAGTAAGTCACTTGATCTGGGTGCCAAAGCCCGAAGTACTTGTCAGAGGGAAGAAATGTGGATGATAAAATATTTTACTGCATAACATCAGTTTTGCCATATGCACTTGAATCTGTGAAGAGGGTAGTGGTGAACTGGCAAATGTTGATGTGGAGATGCTAATCCTGACAGTCCTATGGTAACAGCCCAAAGAGGAGTAAAAAAAATGCAGGTAACTTTGGTCCATGTCAACAAACCACTTCTTGCACTTTTTACTTCCATGGGAGATGGTCTTTGGCAAAGCCAATGGATCTTACGTTGATATTCAGCCTCCTTGAGGGAAAGTTCACTATAATATACTATGGCACCCTAAACCTCTTCTCTGCCCTGCTACACTGAAGACTGCAGCTAAACTCAAAGGAAGAAGGAAACCAGAATGAGTGACAAATGATAATAATTCTGGTTAATCCGATAATCCCAACATTTGCACCCTCCAAGCTCTAGCTCTGCTACACAATGCATATGTTCATTGTTTTGGAGAGTACAATCCAAACAGTACCATTTAGGACAAATAAGAACACTGGATTGTTGCAGGCTTTCCAGCTTTAATCTGTACTTTTCCACAGGGAGATTTTTTTAAAGTGTCAGCTCATATCTTAGCTGTCTGTTTGGCAACATTCAGAACACAAATCTGTATGCCCTCCCAGTGCAAAATCCATAAATTGTTCTTACCAGCCAATCTCTCTGCCAGCGTGAGGGCATGCACCGATGGTCTGTAGTCTGGGGCATGCTGAGCTTGCTGTGCTGCTTGCTGGTGAAGGTTGTACATGGCGCTCAAGGAATTCATAGCGTGGAGAGAATAGCCATTTACTCCATAATGCTGCATGGTGACACAAGACCTGCAGCAATAAAAAGATGAAGAGAGAGCTGTTACTGTTTCCAGTTAGCACCGCACCTTTCATATGAAGTAAATAAGAAAGTTCAAAGACCTTAAATTTTATATCACATGAAATTCAGTCACATTAACTTTTTACTTCTTTCAGCCCACAGAATATTTTAATTTGCATCCCTGTTCAGCCATAAACTAGGTGACTTTGCACCAATCAAAACATATTTGCCTAACCTATTTTAATTTCTTCTTAATTTCTGTTTCTCCTCATCTTAAATTCAATTCACCATGAATTTTGGGGAATTCTCAAACAAGCTGGGTTGACTTTTTGGAATTTTTGAAATTTCCCTAAAATTAGTACTTATTGTTGCAGTCTCTTCTGTATGTGGTTTAATCTAACAAACACTTCTAATACAAGGGCATTCATTTCTAAAGATGTTGTTTTGGATCACTTTCTCCTGTGATATGCTTTCTTGATCCAAAATGTGTCTAACGGTAAAAAAATTAGAAAAGAGAAAAACACATTTTAAAAAACCCAGTTTGTTTCAGTTTGTGTATTAGTTCAGAAGTGTGAAATTAGGTAGGTTACCTTAAATGCAAACCAAATTAATTTTCTTCCTCAGTGATGTCTGGCTCACCTAACAAGCATTTAATCAAGAACTCTTTGGAAGAAAAATTAGGTTAATAAAAGCAACTTGGGGAAAAAATGTGTTTTTGCACTACAACTCCCAGATTTCCTCAGTCAGCATGTTATAGGATTTATATTTGTAATGGGGACACAGTGTGGGAATGCATCGGCCTAAATGCAATTGTTTGTCCCAATTATGAAAAGAACAATTGGATAAGCAACTGAATAATAAGTCGGCACTTAAGTGAATTCCACTGATTTAATGCTATTTCTAGTTCAAACTAGCATGTGATTTTAGGCCATGATTTCAAATCTCTACTTCTAGCCAGGCAATTCAGTGGGTAATTCTTCTCAGTCTAATTTTCCTTATTGGGCTTTTATGATGATAACATCATGATGGTTTAAGCCTTGAACTCAATGCAAAAAATATTAGATATGAAAGGAAAATAAGAATAAACTCCATTTCATTGGCTCTTCTATCTTTTGCCTCATCGCAATTTACTTTTTTGCAATAGACAGGTCAGTATATGTGGATTTTATGACTTTTTTTTTTTTTAGTAAAGAGCAGTTTCAATTTTTAGAACACAATGGTCATGCCATGCAGTGGCACCACCAATCTGAAAAGTGGCATTTTCTAAACGTGCAATTTATTTTTAAATTATACACTGACAGACTTGGATAGCCTTTGATAGTTTTCTGTCTGATCATATGGCAACAGTAGGCTTGATTAACTTCATTACAACCATTTGAGTGAGCTCTTATACATCAAGTAGAGTTCAGCACCTTGGATAGCTCTTTTAAACCTCAAACTAAAATTCAAAATGAATCCATTGCCCTCCACCCAACACGGGAGCTTTCAGCTGCCACCTAAGTTTGCTCTTCAGTCAATGTTGAGAAATGGGATCATGAAACAATTTGGTTGGTAACTGTAAAAGTAACCAATCCTTCTAAAATATCTCCATTATAACAACCAAAGAACTGGAAAACTGGGGCATTTTCTTTCTGTGATATTGAAGATCACTGTTGGCCTTCTTAAGGAAAAGTTTGATTTCACCAGATGCTTTCAGCAGGAGGAATAAAACAGCATATGTCTAGCCATGATTTCTAACCAGTTAAATGGTGGAAAATGAATATACTGTAGCTTTAGAAATCTCTTTTTTCTTATTCTTTTTATCCCCGTTCTCTCCACATACACCCCTCAACATTTTGGAACTTTTTCATTGTCAGTCAATAAGTACTTCAACCACATGTTAGCTTTCAAGCAATATTCATATAAAACACTGTTTGGTACTTAGAGTAGAATATCATGATCACCCGGTGGATGAGCAGAGATTCAAATTGGTTTCTCGGAGTCCTAGCCTAGCACTCAAACCTTTATATTGTATTAGCTCACTGTGGACTTTTCATAAAGGTCCATGGATTTGCCCCACATCAGGGTGAATCCATAGGCTCCTGGCGGGGGAGCATGGAGAAGCTGCCACTCCACAACCCACATTGTCTGCCTTACCTTCTCCCTCATCCCATGGGGGGAAGTGTTGCCGCCCACCTTCTCCCCGTTGCAAAGAAGGCAACATGAGAAGGTTCCCATGTTGCCGTGATGGCAGCATGTGCTGCTTTCTCTCCCTTTTTGGCATGGAATATGACCTGAATGTTGTGTCAAAAATGGAGGGAAGCAGCGGACGATGGGCAAATCGGTCTATCTGATAAGATAGTAAAACTAAAAACAGATATAATTATTCAAGTCCATTGCAGCAGTACCCAAAGAATTGTACTTATGTGTGGTCTTAGCTCTGAATGTAGTGTGTACCCAAACAGTTGATGGGAAAATAATGAACTGCAAATGAATAAATTCTTTTGCATGAAGATGGCTTAGGTATGATTAAGGCTACTCACATACAGCCCCAACTGTGAGGAAATTAAAATAAAATGTGGGGTTTCTTCACTAGTCTATGACCTCTTTAAAGAGTACTAAAAAGAAAAAAAAACCTTAATTTTATCCCTCTCCGACCTGACCGATGTCCTCATTAAGGGTATGCACATCTTGAGAGCCACTTCCATATTTATACTTTATACTTTTATATCTCAAATTTAAACAGTATTTACTGCTCATGCACTTTATGGGGCCCGATCACCCATCTTCTCCATGAGGGGTCTATTTTTATCAGTGTTTTCATCAGTTGTTATTATTTTTAGAGCATTATGTTTTTATGACTTTATGTGGCATTGAATGTTTGTCTTTTGCTTTGGAAGCCATCCTGAGTCCCTTCGGGGAGAGAGGGCTGGTTAGAAATAAATATTTATTATTATTATTATTATTAGTAGTAGTATTTTTAATGAGAAAGCTATTCTGGGTCTAACTCATATATAGGTTGACTGTGTAACCAAATAGGCTACATGCAGTTCAAAGAAAGGACAGTTCTGAAATTACATTTTCCGAGTTCAAAATTCAAGTCACACAAAATATCATGGCAGTTTGTGTAAAAACTGAGAACAACTTAGCTGTTTTGCATGATTCTTTAGAACCTCTAGTATTCTAACCTAAATTTCATTCTCCTCTCATTTATAACATTGCAGAAGGTGTGACACTGGAAATGGTTCAAACCTAGAACTTTGATATTCACTATGTTTTCATCTCCTTTTCATCCCCTTGGTCCTTTGTTTGTTCTTTTTCTTGGGATGTCTATATCTTGGCCAGAATTCAAATGGATACTTCTTTATAAATGGACTTAAGTCTGTATAGTTTGAATAGAATTGTATAGTTTTGCAATGTCTGTATTTAGCAGGGGGTTGTCATGAGATTACTATGCAAGAGACCCAACTAAGTGAACAATGCAAATGTGCTTTGGAAGCTACCTGCAACAGGACCAATGTGCAGCGGGACCAGTTGACATTGGGCTGGTGTGCATTAACACTTTCCAATGCACATTGAGACACTCTTGCTGGTGTTCTGCTACTCATTTTCGTGTCTTCACAATTCACTGACATTGTTTCTTAGCCATATAGCTAATTATACATAAAGTTACTTAATATAGAGCAGTGGTTCTCAACCTGTGGGTCTCCAGGTGTTTTGACTTACACTCCCAGAAATTCCAACCAGTTTACCAGCTGTCAGGATTTCTGGGAGTTGAAAGCCAAAATATCTGGGGACCGACAGGTTGAAAACTGATGTAAAGCATGATAGAGAAATTTGCCCATCATTTCTAAATGCAAGCATGCAGTTTTATGTTATTGCAGTGTTCATAGTATATTTATAATTCACCATATCAGTTCTTACTGTGAAACATTTCATATAGAAATGTAAAGATCTGATGATGATGTGGCTTGAATCCAGATTTATTTTCTTTGATCAGCTGACCTGGATTGTCCATGTTTATATATGCTTTCAGGACACTTTTCAATTTATGGACACTCCATGAATTTCATAATAGGAAAAAGAATACGCATAATAGGGAAAGGAATTTAAATCTGGATTTTAAAGGAACTTTCCAAGGTGTTGATTTTTATCCACAAAACAACTTCCATCAACTTGGATTTGCTCAGAGGAGATTCCCCACACCTTTGATGTGGGAGATATCAGCTGGCACTGCAGGAAAGGAGTTCATCAAGCACACATAAGTACATGCATATATCCTGATAAACAGACCAAAAGAAAGACATGTATTTCAACTCTCTGCAGATAGGTTGTTGTAGGTTTTTCGGGTTGTATGGCCATGTTCTAGAAGCATTCTCTCCTGACATTTCACCTGCAACTGTGGCAAGCATCCTCAGAAGTTGTGAGGTTTGTTGGAAACTGCAGATTCCAACAATATCTGCAGATATTTGCATAAAGGCATTCCTTAAATATTTTCAGATATTTAAGGAATGCCTTTTAAAACTCACAAAGTCCCTTCTCTTAATAGCACTTCTTTGGGGAAGGAAAATGCCAGATTTCTACTACTTTGTCAGGTAGTATGGCGGCTAAGAGAATCATATTCAGACACAGCTGACTTCCCATTTGCTTCCCTGCACATTCCAAGTAGAATAAATTAAATATTTAAAAGACAGTATGCAGCAATTTTCCTTGGTAAGTGGTAGAGGCCATTTGTCAAGCTGCAGCAGTGTTTTGCAAGCTGTCGAATTGTGCTTACATTGGTTAAAATAATCTTTATATTTCATTAAGCAACCAAATAAGCTGATCTTCCCCACTGGCTGTATAGATGGCTTTAATTTTCAAAATCTGCAAATGCATCTTTTATGTCATTTGGTGGCTGGAGGGCATTGGTAATGCTGCAGCCAATCGGAGAATAAGCAGTGGAGTTTGATGAGGTGGCATATGATATAAATTAACATTGTGCAATGAAAAGAGCACATCTTAAGTTGTCCTTGATATAATAGGGGATTGA